CGAGCTTGAAATGCCCAAAAATGGCAAAAGCTCGGAACCCCTCTGTTTTTGTATTGCCCAGGGTTTTTCGCACCCGCGGTGATTTCTTCGCACCTGCGGTAAATTTTTTGCACCCGCGGCTTTCACATCCGCGGCAAATTTTTCACACCCGCGGCCTTCGCATCTGCGGCGAATTTTCCGCACCCGCGGTGCTTGGCCAGCCCATGAATTTTCCGCTTCCGCGACTCATTTCTCGCATCCGCGAGCTCGCCCCTGTGGCCCTTTTTCGCGCAGGTGCGATCACACTAGCAACCCAGCTGCTTTAGCTCCTCCTCCAAATCCAAATTCGATCCGTTAAGCATCCGAAACTCACCCGATGCCCTCGGGACCCCGTCCGAACATACCAACAAGTTCCATAACATAACACGGACCTACTCGAGGCCTCAAATCATATCAAACAACATCAAAATGGCGAATCACACCTCAAATCAAAATCTATGAACTTTGAACTTTCAAATTCTATATCTTGTGTCGAAACATATCAAATTAATCCGGAATGACTTCAAATTTTGCACACAAGTCATAAATGACATAACGAAGCTATTTAAATTTTCAGAATAATATTTCGACCCCGATATCAAAAAGTCAACCCCCGGTCAAACTTTCCAAAAATTTAACTTTCGGCATTTCAAGCTTAATTCTACTACATACCTCCAATTAATTTTTTCCGACATACTCCTAAGTCCAAAATCACCATACGGAGCTATTGACATCATCAAAATTTTATCCCAGAGTCGTTTTCTCAAAAGTCAACTCTCCGGTCAACTCTTTCCATTTAAGCTTCAAATTAAGGATTGTTCGTTTAATTGAATTCCAAATCTTTAGTAAATCAAACTCGACCAGGTCATAATACATATTGCGAAGCTGCTCGAGACCTTAAGTCATTGAACGGGGCGTAAATTCTTAAAACGACAAGTCGGGTCGTTACAATACTGTACTTTTAATTTTACTGCTGACTATCCACAAAGGGCAGAGGTGAGGGAGGGGGAGGGGGTCGGAAGGGGGTTACGATAGGAAAGAAGGGGGAGAATAAGATGGGGAAAACATGGGACAAATAAGGCTGAAGGGGTAGGGATGCTTGGGCTGGGAAATAATTTTACTCTTTTTCTTTTTATGGTTATTTTTTATTATTCTTAATATTTTTAAATTAAAATTAATATATCCACTCTCCTTTTTAGAGCGTATAGCCACTCATTTTTCTGACTCAGCAAAATGAATGACACATAAGTTCAGTCAATGGTCACAGGGGTTTAAAATATATGTTTTGACTGAGTTTAGGTATCTGGATGAAACTTCGTTGAATACAGGGACCGGGATGACAAACAAGAACAAGTACAGGTGTTTGTCAGGCTATTCTGCCTTATATTTAAGGTGAATGTTTATATTTTAGAGAGATTTTAGGGTTTGTTACTTTGTGACTAAGGTACTTTTTTCCTATAAATAGAGTAGTTTTATTTTATTATAATTAATCTCAAATCAATAAGAATTTTCTCTCTACTTTTCATACTCTTCTTCTTATTTTATTGTTTTATAACAAAAGCAATTTAATCCTCCATATAAAATGGTGTCATATGGATAAACACTAAAAGCAGTATTTTATCAACCAAAAAAATAAAAATTGGAAACAAATTATAAAATAAACCTCTTTTTTCCTAGGCCTTACCATATTATCCCATAGTCCAAAATCCAAATAGACCTAAAAACCAAAGGTCTAAAAATGACCAAATCACCAAAAATACTCGCACCTCAAAACTCTTTCATTATCCCCACCCCTCCTTAAGTCCTATCCAAACCAATATAAACCAGTAGTAGTATATAGAAATATAAACACAAACACTAAACCAGAAAACAGAGTAGGAGGAGAAAAATGGCAGCAGAATCAGTGACAAGAATGTCATCTGCTGCTTCTTCACTCTGCAACTTTAATGGGTCTCAAAGACCCGTGCCCATATCCAACCGGGTCAGTTCTTCTTCTCGGAGGAATCGATGTGTTAAAGTACAGTCCCTTGCTTCTGAATTCCTTGGAAGCTTCAAACTGTGCTCTGTTTCTGCTTCTAGAAGCTCAAGATTAAGTCAAAAGCCCAAAAAGTATGGCTTTTCTGTCTTTGCTATGGCCGCCGCTGAAGGTATTAATTTTCATCCTCTTTTCTTTTCTTCACTCTTTCAATGTTATATACTTAAATTTTCTTTGTTTCTCTTTTGGGTTTTAATTGGAAATTTCAATTCTTTTTCTTAAGGTTTCAACTATTTTGATTTTTTGGTGTAAATTTTAGATGGATAACTTGTAAAGATAACTTGTTTTTTTTTTTTCGGAGGGGGGGCGCTTACCTACTATAATAGTTGAGGTGCGCGAGAGTTGGCCTAGACACCAGCATTATATTATTAAAATGAATAAAAAGTCTAATTATGAATGAATGGATACAGAATATTTATCTAGTTGACTCCATCAGATTTAAATTGAGACATAGTTGATTGATTGATTGATTGAATTTGAGAAAATGAGATGGTTTTATTTTATGTAACTGGCTTAGACCGTAGTTACTGATTTCTATAATTTGAAACTTGATTAGGATTGAAAACATAATAAATTGGAGCGAATGGGCTCGAGAAAAGAAAGGTCATATTTGGGGAGAATAAAGGGCGTTTGGTTTGAGGATTGATGAACAAGAAGGAAAATGAAACAATTTGATTTTGGAACATGGAAAAGGAAACAAAGGTTGAACCTTTAGTCTGGATAACTGTAAAATGTATTACTTAATTTTTGAAGGTGTCTACTTGGAGTTCCAAATTGTGGAGTTTCTTACTTAAAGTTCAAACTCATGGAGAATGGTGATATCCTCTATTTAGTGCATTCCAAGAAAAAATGTATTGAGCTTTAAGAATTTATTTTGATGTCAGCTTCTTTGATATGTTCTTTTTCCAAAAGAAGGTTGATGATTGAAAATATCTAAGACACTTCTTTTAGATTTATGGTTTACCAATCACAGTCTAATCAAACACTAAGTCTTAGGAGATAGATGTTATACAGGGTTCTTTTTTGTCTGGACAGTGTATTGGTAACTCAATCCTGGAACAGAAACTCATGTGCTGCTCCTTTTTATTTTTCTGCAGAGGGGAAGAGAACAGTGCCTTTGAAGGACTACCGCAATATAGGAATTATGGCTCATATAGATGCAGGGAAGACAACTACAACTGAACGTGTCCTTTACTATACTGGCAGAAACTATAAAATTGGTGAAGTGCATGAGGGGACAGCCACTATGGACTGGATGGAGCAAGAGCAAGAGAGGGGGATTACAATTACTTCTGCTGCTACTACCACGTTCTGGAACAAGCATCGTATCAACATAATTGATACTCCTGGTCATGTGGACTTCACTCTTGAAGTAGAGCGTGCCCTTAGGGTTTTAGATGGTGCCATATGCTTGTTTGACAGTGTTGCTGGTGTGGAACCTCAATCGGAAACTGTTTGGAGACAAGCTGATAAGTATGGAGTCCCAAGGATATGTTTCGTTAATAAGATGGATCGTCTTGGAGCAAATTTCTTCCGAACAAGAGACATGATAGTATCAAACTTGGGTGCTAAACCACTTGTAATTCAGATTCCAATCGGCGCAGAGGATAACTTCAAAGGATTAGTTGATCTTGTGAAGATGAAAGCTATTGTTTGGTCCGGAGAAGAATTAGGAGCAAAGTTTTCCTATGAGGATATTCCCGCTGATCTTCAAGAGCTGGCTGAGGAATATAGGGCACTGATGATTGAGACTATAGTTGAATTGGATGATGATGCTATGGAGAACTACTTGGAAGGAGTTGAACCTGACGAGGAAACCATTAAAAAGTTGATCAGGAAGGGAACTATCGGTGGCAGTTTTGTCCCAGTCTTGTGTGGCTCAGCTTTCAAGAACAAGGGGGTTCAGCCGCTTCTCGATGCAGTTGTGGATTATTTGCCTTCTCCAGTTGACTTGCCTGCAATGCAAGGAACCGACCCTGGCAACCCAGAAGTGACCATTGAGAGGGCCGCAAGTGATGATGAACCGTTTGCTGGTTTGGCATTTAAGATCATGAATGATCCTTTTGTGGGGTCTCTCACATTCGTCAGGGTATATTCAGGAAAGCTTAGTGCAGGATCATATGTTGTGAATGCAAACAAAGGCAGGAAGGAGAGAATTGGCAGACTTCTTGAAATGCATGCTAACAGCAGAGAGGATATAAAGACAGCGTTAACTGGTGATATCGTCGCTCTTGCTGGATTGAAAGATACAATTACAGGAGAGACATTGGCTGATCCCGACAAGCCTGTTGTCCTTGAACGCATGGATTTCCCAGATCCTGTTATAAAGGTTGCAATTGAACCCAAGACCAAAGCAGACATTGATAAGATGGCGACAGGCTTAATTAAACTGGCTCAAGAGGATCCATCTTTCCATTTTTCACGGGATGAGGAGATTAACCAGACAGTTATCGAGGGAATGGGAGAATTACATCTTGAGATCATTGTTGATAGACTCAAAAGGGAATTTAAGGTATGTATCTGAAAACCCCTGTCAAACCCAACAAAAACCCCCCACAAAGAAAGAAGGAAAAAAAACTACTTTTTCTCCTATTATGATCAGAAGAATTTCCATTGCAGTTGCTACTTTCGCTATTACTCTTATTTACTGCTTAAACTGATATCTGATAAGAGAAAATTGTATGGATATACGCAAAATGCTTGCTTAACAGACTCCCAAGCAGAAAGTTATTGCCTAGGATATTTGCAAAAATGTCTCTCTCGTGTCTTTGATTTTCTCATAAAAATTACTGCTAAATATAATGCCTATTTTGATCACTTGGCTATCTTTGCCTACCATTCTTATTTTCAGTAGTTTGCCTTGTAGAATTGAAAATATCTGATTTCTTACATTTAGTAACTTGGTGTTGCTTGCTCATTGACAGGTGGAAGCTAATGTTGGAGCTCCACAAGTAAACTACCGCGAGAGTATTTCCAAGATCTCAGAAGTGAAATACGTCCACAAGAAACAGTCTGGTGGGTCAGGACAGTTTGCTGATATCACAGTAAGGTTTGAACCCATGGAAACAGGTGGTGGATATGAATTCAAGAGTGAAATCAAGGGAGGTGCAGTGCCAAAAGAATATATTCCAGGTGTTATGAAGGGATTAGAAGAATGCATGAGTAACGGGGTACTGGCGGGATTTCCCGTTGTTGATGTTCGTGCAGTGCTAGTAGATGGCTCTTACCATGACGTGGATTCAAGTGTTTTGGCATTCCAGCTGGCTGCTAGGGGAGCTTTTAGGGAAGGGATGAGAAAAGCTAGTCCACAATTGCTAGAACCGATAATGAAAGTTGAAGTAGTTACACCAGAAGAACATCTAGGAGATGTGATTGGTGACCTTAACTCAAGGAGAGGCCAGATCAACAGCTTTGGAGATAAACCTGGAGGTCTCAAGGTATGAATAGCGGAATCCTTTCATCGATCTTCTTGTTATACTAAGTTTTCCACCCTTCCAACTGCACTTTTTGGGTGTGTTTGGTATGAAGGAAAATGTTTTCCATGAAAAATATTTTCCTAGAAAATGTTTTCATCCTTGTTTGGTTGGTGAGTGGAAAACTTTCCGGAAAATATTTTCTAGGATACCAAACACACCCTTTGTTGAGTGACAATTGGAGATCCATAGTCTTAACACAGTAATCGAGCATATCATAGTATATGAATTAAGTCGACCAGTGTTTTATCCATTCTGATTTATACGGCTCTCTTTCCTTTTTGAAGATATGCAAGGTAGGTAGCTTTATCTATCTTAAAAAGGACCTCTTAGAGGGACTGTAACATGTCCTATTTTACCATTATGAACAATAAACATAAGTTGTGTGCATGTGATAAATTACTGTTTCTCTGGAAAATAATATGGAGTATGAATTTTCTCTGATGGATCTAATTTAATTGGTGCAGGTGGTTGATGCTTTGGTTCCATTAGCAGAGATGTTCAATTATGTTAGTACCTTGCGAGGAATGACAAAAGGGCGTGCGTCATATGTCATGCAATTAGCCAACTTTGATGTTGTTCCCCAACACATTCAAAACCAGCTTGCCAAAAAGGAGGAAACAGCAGCTGCTTAATCAGTTAGCTTCCAGATTTTGGATCCAAGAACTTAAAAATAGGTATTTACTCGATGAAAATGTCAAGGCGTGCACGATATTCTTTTTGTACCAGTATTAAAGACTGATGGAGAATAGTTGATATTGGTTATAGGTTTGAGCTTATAAAGGATTTTTCTAATCTGGTCGAATTCTGTAAGCTTAGTCTCTGAGGGGGAAAAAGAAGGAATGGCAACAGTGTAAATGCATTTAAGGTATATCTCATCCAAAGAAACTTCAATTGAGTATGTCCTGGTTGTGGGATTCAACTTACTATATGAACAGATTTTTGCCTGTAACAATTTAATGCTGTCTCGTGGGATCTTAGTGTAACATCTGATGGTTGAGTTGTTTAATTTACGTTTGTTTTTAAGTTGCAATCTCTTTATAATATAGAGGTCCAAAATAAGCAGAGTAGTCTAATGTTGTAAAACTAATAAGTAGGCTTATGCATGAGTGCGAGTGTGGTTCCATTAATTTTTTTGCTGATTTACATTTTGTTTAGGTCTCGTTATAGTAACATAGGCACCACTACCATACAGTAAGTAACGCGTTCAGCTAAGATTAAATTAGTCAAAGTTAAAATCATAAATGTGCCTCTGCTATTGCACCTGTCAACATAGTATTCTGTAATTCTTTTTTTAACTGAACTGTTCCTTTAACCTTTTGGAAACATTTATTTTTTTCTTTCTTTCTTGCAAGAGCACTTACTTGATATTGTGATTTGAGGATATCTCCCTTTTAATATTAATAATACAGATATGGAAAAATTTAGCAGCAGAACATCGGATTGGAGAAAAAAGATTAATGCTGTGACAGTAAGTGTACGCCAACCCCAAAAAAGATAAGTCATCGCGTATTTTAAAAACAAATCTAGTTAGGTATCTGTTACATCAACAACAATAAGATACCCAGTATTATCCCACACTGTGGGGTCTGGGGAGGGTAGTTTGTACGCAGACCTCACCCCTACCTTGTGAGGATAGAGAGGTTGTTTCCAATAGACCTTCGGCTCAAGAAAGTATAAGCACCACATTAATGAAAATATAGACAAGAAGGGATAACACCAAAAAGGCATATAAAAGCAGAATAAAAACAACAAGATAGTAAGGTGATCAACAATGAAAGAAAACAACGGTTAGTCATAAAAGCTTACTACCAACAGAAAGGGAGACTGCGTGTCAATATTACTGTTATGAACACTCTAGACTACCTACCCTACTACCCTAATCCTCGACCTCCATACCTTCCTATCAAGGGTCATGTCCTCGGTCAGCTGAAGCTGTGCCATGTCTTGCCTAATCACCTCTCCCCACCTCTTCTTCGGCCTACCCCTACCTCTCTATAGGCCCTCCAATGTCAACCTCTTACACCTCCTCATCGGGGCGTCTGTGCTCCTCCTCCTCACATCACCAAACCACCTAAGTCACACTTCCCGTATCTTGTCCTCAATAGGGGTCACACCCACCTTGTCGCGAATAACCTCATTCCTAATCATATCTAACCTGGTGTGCCCGCACATCCATCTCAACATCTTCATCTCTGCTACCTTCATCTTCTGGACATGAGCGATTTTGACTGGCCAACACTCCGCCCCATACAACATAGTCGGTCTGACCACCACTCTGTAGAACTTACCTTTAAATTTCGGTGGCACATTCTTGTCACACAAAACACCGGAAGCGAATCTCCATTTCATCCATCCCGCCCCAATACGATGTGTGACATCTTCATCAATCTCCCCATCCCCCTGAATAATAGACCCAAGTTACTTAAAACTTCCTCTCTTAGGGATGACCTGCGAGTCTAGCCTCACCTTCTCTTTCCCTCCCTGAGTCTCACCACTGAACTTACACTCCAAGTATTCTGTCTTGGTCCTGCTCAACTTGAAACCTTTAGACTCCGGGGTCTGCCTCCATACCTCTAACTGCTCGTTCATACCGCCTCGCGTCTCGTCAATCAATACAATATCATATGCAAATAGCATGCACCACGGCACCTCCCCTTGGATGTGGCGCGTCAGTACATCCATCGCCAGGGCAAACAAAAAAGTGCTGAGTGTCAACCCCTAATGCAACCCCATCATGACCGGAAAATGGTTCAAGTCTTCACCCACCGTCCTCACTAGGGTCTTTACTCCATCATACATGTCCTTAATCACCCTAACGTAGGCAACAGGTACACCTTTAGCCTTCAAACATCTCCACAAAATCTCTCTCGGACTTTTTTAAGTCGATGAACACCATTAGTCTTTATTTCTCTCCCTATACTGCTCAATCAATCTCCTAACAAGGTGGATGGCCAGAGTTGAAGAACTTTGAAACCCGATTGTCTGAAATTTACACTTATAACATGCTAGCTTTAAACTCAAATTTTCTGAAGTTTACACTGCGAGGGACCCACACCTAGCTTTCTAATTTTAGAATAATTTGTCGACCCCAATTTGTCTCACTACAACTTTCATACGCCAATTTTTGAAACCCCATACGCATGTCTAAAGTATATGCTAAAGTGAATAATTTATAATTATTTGTACAATACAGCCTGCACTTGCCCACAAACCAACAAGCCAAAGCACTTACAATTTTCACAATCTTTTCTCCTGCAGAAATATTATTTACAGTCTGCCACATAATATTGTCCCAAGAGCGACTTGCAACCCAACAATTCTATTTTTTGTTAGTGTTAGAATTGTTATTCTTTTTTGCTGAGATGACACAACAAAGAATACTTCTTCGCTTCCGCAAATACTAACAGTTACTAAAAAACTATTTTATTTTTTACACCCGAAATTTTTCTCTAACAATGTTTGATTCTTAAATATATTTAATTTTTCTCTAATGATGTTTGATTCTTAAAATATATTTCTCCGACATGTTTTTCTAAACCATCGTAAAAGCACACCCCACTCGGACAAATAGAGCTATCTCTCCAGTTTCGGGGAGTTAGCAGCGTCACTTGAATATAACAATCAGGACATAAAAGAGCCAACAGGCAACAAGATGCAAAATTTGAAGTTGCGACAGAAGAAAACCGGGAAACCAAGACATTGTGCGACCTTACACCCTCAGAAGAGTAAAAGGAGTCCTATGAACGATTCCCTTGAATACACAAACGACAATAAATAATGGATAGCCATGCCCTATTTCCCTTTTGAGGTCTAAACGTTGCTCTACTTATTTAACTTGGACAATTCCTGCATTAATCAACTTTTGGATCTTGTTCATCACAAGAGGGTTCTTCATATGATCCTGTGCGGCTTTTGGGTTCTCTTGGAAGTCAGTCAGCACCTGCTCCAAAATACACCATTCACACCCAAATGCAGAAGTTACATAATGTCAATGGTATTGACAAGTCAAAAATAGTACTCTGAATTTACCTGTCTCATTACTGGGTCTGTAAGGATGTTCTGAATTTCTGGATCCTGCATTCCCTTGGCCTGCTCAAAGAATTAGATGTATGAGTGTTACCATTACCCCAGTTACTTCTGCCCGGAGCAAGATAAGAGTACAGTGCAAAGAAATGATACCTGTCTCTCTTTGAGCTCCTCTGGAGTTAGATCTCCACGGCTTCCCCTGTTTATTTGCTCCACACATCTGCAAAAAGACAGTAGTTTAAGTTACAAGTGAAAACCATAACACTGACAAAATCACCTCACTTCTACATCGATGGTCATGTTGTCTTGAATAAACAAGATACAGCAAATTTCAGAGGAAGAAGAATCAGTAAAAAGTCAAATACAGATCACATCCCAATGGAAACCAATTTTAGGAATCATGATCACTCTCAAAACCTCGGAAGAAAGCAACTGATGAGATACAAGAATATAAAAAGAAATATCTAATTACCTCTTCACACCATCTAGCAGTTCCTGATTCTGAGGATCATGCTTCAATCCTTCCTGGTAAGTTTCCATAGCTTTTTCATACTCTTTCATGAAAAACTGAACAGCACCTTTCCTGGTGTAGCCCTTTACAAATGTTGGATCAAGCTCAATGCACTTCTCAGCATCCTTGAGCCCCTCAGGCAATGCAGCTAACTTCGTGTAGCAAGCAGCCCGGTTGCTATATGCCTAACAAAAAAACAAAGGCGGATTCAGCCCTTAATGAAGGACAGAGAAAAGTCCTCGAGTCTAACCAGGTGACAGAAGAGATGAATACCCTCGGGTCTTTGGGATTCCTCTTTATGGATTCAGTGTAATGCTTAACCGCCTCGGGATACTTCATCTCTTTGAAGAACTGGTTTCCTGCAACATAGTGAAGAAAGTTAGCCCCATAAGAGTAAAACAACTCAGACAGCATTAGGAAGAAAATACCTTTCTCGCGTTCTTCGTCTGCTATTTGCGGATTGAAATACTCTTGCTGCTCTAATTCCTTTCTCGCCTTCTCAGCATCATTGAGTTTCTTCAGAGTGTCCGGGTTGCGATGTTCAGTCAGGGCTTTCTGGAAAACCTCAATTGCAACTTCAAAATCCTTTGAACTTTTTGCCATCTTTGCCAAGGCAGTCCCCTTTCGAGTCAGAGCCCTTGCAATCATTTTAAAGTCTGACCTTAGCTCTCTCCCCCTTTCAACAGCTTGGTCACAATCTTTGATGCAATCCTCATACTGAAATCAAGGCAAAGAATTATGGGGTTTTCTTTTTAAAAAGGACAAAATGGAGAAACAAACTGGGAGGCAAGGGGGAGGGGGCTAGAAACCCAAAACTCAGCACCATGTCTATTTCTCTAACGAGTCAGCACCTCATGCAGTTCCCAGAAAAGTCAAGGATACATAGGTGCAGTAGCTAGCAAAGATTCAAAACCAAATGATTGCTTGGAATCTCCAATCATCTCCTTATTCACCCCTCAGCTTTATATGCTAGTACTGGCCCTAGACGCTGACTAATTGGCAAACGAAGTGGACTCACTCGTAATGTCTCCCTTAATCTCAACATTTTGAGTGGTTCAAGTTAATGATTAATTAGAAAAGGGAGTGGATGAACTCGCAAACCTCTACCCATGAACTCAAGAATCTTGCTGGTCCTTGTTGGAGATCAACTAACAAAGGATGTGGATTGACTCGTGATTTCCCCTAGAGTCAATAGTTAGGCTGTTCAGTTGTGACTCACTACATATATGATGGGCTCTTTCTCGCAAAATCAGATATCAGACCATCAGAATGTGAAAAACAAACCAGTAAAATCCAACCACCATCACTAGTAACTCCTAGAAGAAGAGACGACAGACAGAGACCTCTGGACTGAAGTCTATTAAATGCAGACTCCATTAACACAACAGGGGATGGAAGTGCCAGCTATTAAAGAGAGGAAGTTTGTTAAACACGGGAGAAATCGTTATCGTATCCAAGAACTTCTAAAACAAAATGTTACATAATTTCCGCACTACCATCAGCAAACAACTCTATGCCACATCAATCATGAAAGGCTAGAATAAACGAAACTTATAAAATAACTGTGTGCATTACAGTTTCCAGTATGCTTGATTTACTTACATTTTCAGTAACGTTTAGGTTTCTTCTAAAAACTTTAATTTCTCACATGAATTTTAACTCAGCACCCGCAGGACACCTAAACAAGTGCTCTATATCAGGACATTGCATAGAATTTTCAGGTTCTTTAGCAAGCAGATCTTCACGGAAGAGCACCACATCACTCTATGCGTAATACAAACTATGGAATCCATATCACCTGTATGCGTGAAATATCATTATCGAATCACCACCTCACAACTTTTCATAGGTTTCGGAAAGACATATGCCACCTGCTCATCTAATAGATTGGAATAGCCATTTCACATAGTGAAAACTTTTCATTAGGTATTATGCCCTCCTATAATTAGGAAAGGACGACTCAAATGGGCAATTCTACTGCAGCAGGTAAACCACAAACACGCACCCCCCC